TGTATTTTCTTCACAGACCTGGTAGGTGGCATCTTGGAGCAACTTTGCCTGTGTTGGTTGGGTGGCCTTTAACTTCTACATAATGTTGTTGTTCATAAGCTATTCAAAAGGGATTAATTGATACATGCATAAATTGCACTGTTTGCTACTCTTGTACATCATAGGCATTTTGACTCTTAATAAATGTAGCATTCATTGATTTCAGTCAATAATATGTCAGGAAGTGAAACAGTGGAATCCATATTTGCAGTGTAGAAATAACAATGTTCTTTGCAGATCTGAGTTCTCTTTTCCCATGGGTTCATTATGTGTCAGTATTTGATGATGTTATTTAATGCAAGGACATAATTAGTAGTTAGAAGGAGAGCTGAGGGGGGAGGTTTTGTTCTTGTGCTCTAAGAAAGCATTATTATTATTATTATTGTCCTCACAAAGCAGACATTGTTATGGAGGTCCTTGCTCTGGAGTAATACGCCAATCAGAAGTATTGTCATTTTACATTTTGGATTCAGACAGTAAGCTAATCTTGAGTAATGTAAACTTCATTTTTCTCTGGAAAATACTGGATTTCCCTCTGTAGCCTCATTGACTAAGTAGACAGACTGTCATTCCTTGTTTTGTAATCGCTGATAGCAGTAGCTCTGTCATAGACCACAGCTTAGTTCAATATAGCTTTTGAGCTCTGCATACCAAAAGCGAGGCTCCTGTCTGCCTGTAAACTGTTTCTCCGAAGGTTATTGCTGCCATAGACTACTGAAAGTGTTGAATGGCCAAAATAATTCAACTCACTTGACGAAATGGATGTAAGAACATTATGGTATGACCTCGGACGCCACTATCGGTGCACTAAAGATTTGTTATATTAAGCCCAAAGCAGGACAGTGTCAGGATTGTTGAACTGCGTCCTCCAATCTTTAAAAATCTTGTCCTCACAGTTTGTCTCCAGCTTTTACTAAGAAATACGACTCTGCAGGCCAGCAGCGTTTAAAATAGTATTGATTTATTTTTGCAGGTAGTTGGCGCCTACATTACTTCACTTTCCTGTTATGTGAGCTCTCAACTGAACATAACATGTCACAAGATATCCCAAGATTGTTGACACATTTCTGGGCCTCAAAGTTTCACACATTCTTAATGAACATTATGGCTGGTCTATGGTTGCAAAAGGCAATGGTAGACATTGAACTTTCTCCTACAGTATAAGAAACCATTTTCTTATGGCGTCAAGTATGTTGAAGCTACCAGGATTTATGGTTTTGGAGTAGGTGAAACCTATCTTATTTTGGGAGGTATCTATACTTGTCCCCCATCCCTCTTCACAGGCTGATAGGTTTACACTAGCATGCCGATCATGACAAAAAATAGGCTAAAATAGATGGTCAGAGATGGTTTTGTCCCAAGACAATCTTTTCCACACAATCCTATGATCCCGAGTGGCGCAGTGGTCTAAGGCACTGCATCGCAGTGCTAGCTGTGCCACTAGAGATCCTGGTTCGTATCCAGGCTCTGTCGTAGCCGGCCGCGACCTGGAGACCCATGGGGCGGCGCACAATTGGCCCAGCGTCGTCCTGGGTAGGGGAGGGAATGGCCGGCAAGGATGTAGCTCAGTTGGTAGAGCATGGCGTTTGCAACGCCAGGGTTGTGGGTTCGATTCCCACGGGGGGCCAGTATGAAAAAATAATAATAATGTATGCACTCACTAACTGTAAGTCGCTCTGGATAAGAGCGTCTGCTAAATGACAAAAAAAAAATGTCAATGTAAAAAATATATGATGCTGTACTGATCAACAGCATCAACCACCAGCAGAACGATTTATGCCTAGCAGCATGTTTTCATTGTCCTGTTCAGTGATCAACTGTTTATAGACTCAAGTAGGTTTAGCGCACAAATGGGTACTAGTCACTGTTAATTTAAGAGTATACTTCTTTATTTGCGGCTGAAAAGCAGTAGGCCTATCCTTCTGTCACACCCTGATCTGTTTCACCTGTCTTTGTCATTGTCTCCATCCCCCTCCAGGTGTCACCCATCTTCCCCATTATCCCCAGTGTATTTATACCTGTGTTCTCTGTTTGTCTGTTGCCAGTTTGTTTTGTTTCGTCAAGCCTACCAGCGGGTTTCCCCTTGCGCCTGGCTTTCTCAAATTCCTGTTTTCTAGATTTCCCAGTTTTGACCATTCTGCCTGCCCTGAGCCTGCCTGCTGTTCTGTACCTTTTGGACTCTGATCTGGAATACTGACCTCTGCCTGCTCTTGACCTGTCGTTTGCCTGCCCCCTGTTTTTGTAATAAACTTTTGTTACTTCGACACTTTCTGCATCTGGGTCATATCCTGAAACGTGATACCTTCAGATAAAAAATGTGCTTGGAAGTGTTTTTAACTGATTTGACATGTTCCCATTGACTGAGAACTTCACAGCATTTAAAGCTATGAAATAATGTTTGATATAGGGATTCAATATTTGCTTTGCTGTCATAAATCATATGTAAGTGAAATATCATCTCCAGCCTGACTGTCTTTTTGCTGACGGTGTTCTGCAGTTTTCATTCAGTTTGATAAAGTAACATTTGCGGCTGTTCAGAGACCCCACTTTGTTTAATGCATGTTGAATCTGTTTTTAATTGTATTAATGCTGATTAGGCTTCACACCGCCTGTCAATTAAAAAACCTGAAATTATCATGAATGAGGACTTTGCTCTTAATGAGTGCCCCCTGCGTGATTCCAAAGCCTATGCTTTACGGCAGGGTTTCCCAAACTCGATCTTGGGGCACGTTTTCGTTTTTGCCCTAGCACTACACAGCTAATTCAAATAATCAACTAATCATCAAGCTTTGAAATTTGAATCAGCTGTGTAGTGCAAGGGCAAACCCCAAAACCGACTTTGAGAAACCCTGCTTTATGGTGCTTTGATAATGTATGTTCTACAAACCCAAAATCATATTTAGTGCTTCTGTAGTGCAATGTGAAACTGTACATGCATGCTTCCCTAAAACCAGAACACAAGAGCTGAGATGTGCCACCATACCATCACGTCATGAGGTGTCCATGCTGGCGTAGCACCAAGGCTAATGTGCACTATGCATGGAGAGTTAACAGTCTGAGGTGTCAGCGAGTCATTACCGTAACCATGTTTTACAGCACACAGACAAACAGAAATCTGTACTCTCCCACTGTTTAATTTGCCATCCACTGGGATGGCTGTAATTGATTTGAATGATTCTCCTGTGTTGGAGAGGGACTGTCTTATTCACTAGAGCACCTGCACTCATGGTAAATATATCATTGTGAATTCCCTTTGTGCTGGCTGTGTGCTGTCACTGTATAAGAAACAGTTACAATACAGAATGACCTCACCCACTATCCATCCTCACCCACATGCTGTTGATTACAGAACACATTAATAGTCTACTACAGGGTATCCCAAACTCTGTCCTCGGAACCCCAAGGGGTGCACGTTTTGGTTTTTGCCCTAGCACTACACAGCTGATTCAAATAATCAACTACTCATCAAGCTTTGATCATTTGAATCAGCTGTGTAGTGTTAGGGCAACAAAAAAAAACGTGAACCCCTTGGGGTCCCAAGGACCGAGTTTGCGAAACACTAGTCTACCTTCAATGTTAGATTTTAAAGATAATTTGACAGTCATTCATATGGATGTTTGTATACCCTTATTTTATATGAATGGCTGTTGGCAGCATGGCATTTAAAGCAAACATATATCTCTGCTTTCTAAGAATATACTGTAAACTCCTTGTAAGGTCTTCAGCTATATTTAAAACATAGTCGCCCCTTTGCACTTATGTAATGTATGTTTACAGTCGAAATCATGCCATGTGATTGCACTGTTCCAGTTCTAAATGTGCTCTGTAGCTGCAAAATAGATCTGCTTCTCTTAAATCTGTGTCCCCTATTTTAACTGGTGAGGGAGGTCTTGTTATTGTAGCCTCGCAAGCCGCCTGATCTCGCGAGCTTACATGAATGTTCGCTCCGTGCAGCGGTTTGCGAGGCTATTGATATTGTGCAACTCTATGTAATGCACCTCTTTTTTATAAGCATGTTTATAATTGCCCCCATGGCAACTCAATGCTGGTCACAGAGAACACTAGCTGTGTACAGTAAATGATCTACTGGTGATATAGGCTAGTCAAACCATAATATTGTGTAGCAGTGTTTCCCAAACTAGGGGTCACCTGATTTTTTTTTTGTATGGGGTCACGAGAGAAACTCCCCCCTAGTTTGCGCTTGGTTCATAGAACCGGGATTACGTCAGTATCCTCCGATAGAAGCTAATGCGGTTGTAATAAACAGAACATTTTCTGTTTTCTACCTACAGTGGCTCTATCTTCTGAACAGTTTAAGCTACAAAATAAAGATATATGAACGATAACACTCTCAAGAACAGATATGTGTCTTCTGTTTCCCTCTACAATGCCCACAAGCTGCGTAGGACTCATTAGAACAGGCTCTAAATCAGACTGGGGGGAAAAATAACATGATCAATGATGAGGTTTCTTTTCTACACAGAATATCATACAAAAGTATTGCCTGATGATAATCTGAACTTCCCAATACCTTTCTGATGCATTTCAGTCACTTCAAATCATACTTCCTTCAGATTGAAATACTGTCAAAAGTACTGTCAGACTGATTTGTAATAGACTGTCATAGTCCCAATTTAAAAAATCACTTTTGTTACATGGTGGGGCCGCAATAATATTTTTGGGGATCAGAATGGAGTCGCAGGCCAAAAATGTTTGGGAACCCCTGGTGTATAACATAGGCTGTGGGGTAAATGTTATAATTAATGACTGCTGTTCCCTTAGCTGCTGGCAGCGCAGGTATAACTACCAGGGTAGGACTTCCTGGGGAAGCTGTGAACCCAGAGGAACAGGATTCACTCTGAAGACTCAGATCCCATTGACAGGACCACTGACACAACCCACTGGCACCGGGATTCACTGACACCAGGAGCCACTGACACCAGATCCCACTGATCGTACCAATGGCCATGTACCTGCAGACAGCTGTCTCCAAGCAGCAGGACACCACCTTCTCCAGCGAGGTAGGCAGACACACACAATACACTATGGATATGGTCATACATTTATCAATGTATTCTTCAATTACCAGTTTTAGGTCACATAGACTTACTGACAAACCTTCTAACCTTAGAAGCGTCTAACAATGTAGGAGATAAGATGAAAAAGAAATCATTTATTTTCGATGATTGTCCCAGTGTTTGAATGCTTTGTGTCCATTCTAATGAGCCAAATGCATTTTTTTATTGTATTAATTGTGTGTTTCATCATAATTAATAACAGTGGGTCCTGTTAACACTGCCATGTCATGTGTGACTGTATGACCATTACATTTTTAATAAGGTTGCATAATACGGCTATTTACAGTAGATAATTACGACCATGTTTTACAGTAGTCGCTGTCAGGCAAAGAGTCAGAGTGGCGTGATTGTTGTGATAGCCACTGATGACTTTGTGGTGCTATATTAGTGGAAAGTGATGACAGCTGACTAGTGGGAGAGTTCAGTGGCCCTGCAGACCCAAGGAAACACGACTCCTCTCATGGGGCTCAGAGTGGAAATGGGAGCAGACAGGCAACACAATGGGGTATCTGTGCCCCCTGCAGGATCCCATTAGTCATGTTCTAGACCTCAAAGCTGTCAACTGGACTCTGCAGGGCGGGCAAAACAACTATCTGCCTAGACAACATGCTGTGTTGCACCACCCAAAAAGCAACCAACTAGAAAGATTGCTCTGCCATTGTGTAAACAAAATGCCACATGCTGTCTGGAGTCCTACATTGAAATGTGTGTGTGTGTGTGCGTGGCCTGCAGGCCCGCGTATGTGTGCGTAAACACACTGTAGTCTCAGTAATGGCTGCGCCAGTATTTTCTATTAACTTGCAGAAGTCTGTAATGAAACCCAAGCTCAATAGCCTATTAGGCATCTGTCTGATCTCAGGCCATGTAGAAGTGCAGGCAGCTAATGATGTTCCACTGCTTCATTAGGTCATGGAGGAGTCTGAGGTTTGTTCTGTGCCTGGGGGGCTCGCCAGCATCAGGGCACAATTCGAGAACCAGGAAACTGCAACATTGCACAACGTCTCCCAGTTCCACTTCCACCGCAGAGCTGTGCAGGTACTGTTTTTAATGCAGGCTAATGTCAGACATGCGATGCATGGGGGAACGTGCAGATGTAGTATGACCTAAGCTGGTCTAATTCCAGCCTACCATCCATCCACACCACTGTGTTCCTGCCCGCATAACTTCCCCTGCTGAGTGGAAGTCACTCACTCGGTGAGCAAGCACAAATCTTGGTGAATATTGAATGATTGAAGAGGCTGGGGAGATGCCCTCTACTACATTATCTTTCACCTTGCCGTGCTCCAAAGGCTCAAGTTACAGATGTTAGATTTAATTTGATGCACTGCTAGACAGAGCTGGCCAACATGGAGAAGAATACAGATCCCTGTAGGGTGTCTGTCAAAACCCCTGGATGTCCCACTCACATTGCTACTGCTTTGAATGCCACTGTTTATATAGTTGGGAATCCTCAGTTGAAGTGGCACAAAGGGGCATAAAACAAATGAAGTCTTTTTTTGTCCCTGTATGCATGGTGACAGCTGCTGTGTGTGATTAAGGTGAAACATCCATGGAATCGTCCCTCCTCGTCTGTCATCCTCCCTTTGTCTGTGATTAGTATAATTTGACTGCAGTAGGCCATCTAATTATCAAGCTTCTATCCCATATTGTTCTCAGTGAAACACACTATCTGCTGCAGTTTGAGCATTCATTAAACTCACTGCAGCCGCTTCTAGTGCTGGGCTGTCAATGAGTGGGAGCCATTCTGTCTGTCTGTCTGGTCTGTCTGTGTTTTTGAGTGAGTGCGTGTGTGTACCTGTATGTGACAGCCAATGTCTTCCATCTCACAGGAAGTTCAATTGAACTCTGACGTGACAATGAGGAGCAGTTCCAGGGAAGTCATCCCAGCCTCTCAGCAGGATATTTTCCATCAGGATGAACAGGTACATTTAGATATTTTGGATTACTCTGTTTCATCACACGATAGTAAAGCTGTGCTGACTACCCAGACATGTTTGTCTTAGCTATATGTGTTAACAATTGTAAATCATTGTTTTAATCAGTTGTGAGAAAGAGAAAGAGAAAAACTCTTTATTGACCACAGTCAGTACACTGACAACAAGATAGACCTAGTAGAGAGTGGATTAACTCTAAACAGCTTTATTCTTTCTTCAGATAATTGGCATTACATAACACAGATTCACTTTACATGTCCCCATAAGTTTCAAAGTAGGTGGGGATTTTTCTAATAGACGTGCCTTTCTGATTCAGGTCACACATGAAGAAAACAGCTTTGCCTCCAGCTATGAAAACAACCATAATGATGAAAGAGGTAGGATGTTACTTCATTATATGCTCATTATATTTTACACTATGCACCATTAATAAGATCAATAGCACTGCTCAAATTATTTTAAATGAAATCATATGAAGTAGATGGATGAATCTTTAGGATTCTATTGTTCTGCCCTTTTTGAATTTTTAGAGGAGGAAGGTCCTAGACTTACAACCAAGGAATTAAGAGATCACTTTGAGAGAACCATTGAAGAAGCTGCCCCAAGCAAGCCAATGAAGGTAATTGGACATGGTTAATTAACATGCTTGGTCTTAAACCCATTTTATTTCAATGGACAAAAACATGATCATTTTTGGTTTAGGTTACTGTTCACAAACCCTGCTGCTTTTTATCCCCATTGCTGAAAAAGTTATTAACTTTATTTGAATGGTAATTAGTAGCAATATAGCTAATCTGTAATTACAGCTTGTTAAATAACACTAAGATGTTTTTTCCCTTGTTAAAAAAAGTATAAAAATGATTCTATCAAACCATGTCGGCCACCAATCCCTCAGTTAATAACGATGAGATTGAATATTGACAATTAGTGATAAACAAAGAGTTGGCATGCTATACAAGCTATACATGTAATGTTTGCATTTAAATGTTGTTTCTTAAAACATGTCAGGGACCTCTAATGACCTCAATCATTATTTTCTTCCCAAAAAGATTGGCAGAGCTGACATCAATAGGTCTCAGTGGGCATCAAATATATCACAAAAACAGGTCTCATCAAGTGAGATACAAAATGTATCATCAAATGCAATACAGAATTTCTCTTCAAGTGAGATAAATAATGTCTCATCAAGTGATATATGGGAAGATTCTGCTACTGAAGCGATAGAGGACACATCTGCTATTGCAGTTGACTACGAGGACACAGAATGTTTCCCTCCACCACCTCCAGAAGATTTAGAGTACTTCCCACCTCCACCCCCAGACTTACTGCAGGTCCCATCAGAAAGTCCAGATATGCCAGTAGAGTGCTACTTATCACCTGAGCCCCCGGAATCAGCTTACCCCTCTAAACGTCCACTCAGTAGACAGGAATACTTCAGACAGAGAAACCAAAATGAGTTGAAGCGCCTTTACAAGCATATCCATCCTGAGGTTCGTAAAAACATAGAGATGTATAGTGATGCGGCTGAGTATGAGAACACCCAACAAGAGAGTCAGGAGGAGTTCACAGGGGAGACCAGGTATATATACGACGATAATGGTAGCAGCCCCAACGACTGCATTAGCCCAGAAGAAGAATACCTGGAATGGGATGAGATCCTCAGAGGGGAGGTGCAGTCAATGCGCTGGATGTTTGAGAACAAACCTCTGGATGCCATCAAAGATGATGCCTCAAATGAGGATGGAGACCAAAACATGGAACAGGAGATGATTGTTGGGAGTGATGTAAGAAGCAAAGCTTGGATGTTTGAGACCAAGCACATGGATGCATTGGGATCAGACAACATAGCTTCAACTAAATATAGACACAAATTCAATAAGTTGGACAAAGGAGATGTCCGTGCTGCAGCCTGGTTGTTTGAAAACCAGCCCATGGAGACCCTGAACAAAATGCATGGCGATGAAGAGCTAACCAAAGAGATAGTGTTTACCCAGGAAGATGGCAGCTCTACCATACACATGCTTGAATTTCAGTACATGGAAACTTTAGGTCATACTGAGACCATTGATGACAGTCACCTCCTGAGTCTGAGATCAGTGCTTGAGGAAATAAAGGGAGAAGTGAAGACTATCACAAGCACATTTGAGACTCAGTTTATGTGCATCCTCATCGGACAGTCAGGCCAGATGTTGGAGATAACATCTATACGCAAAGTGGAGACTGAGAAGGGGGAAACTAAAACATCAACCTGGCTTTTTGAAACCCAAGCCCTGGACATGACTAATAAACCCTCTGCCCCAGTGAAACTTGTGTGTAGCCTGTCCATGGAAGACAACTATAAAGATGTTCACCGGGGTAGATGGTTGTTTGAGACAAAGACTTTAGACTCCATTAACAAAGATGAATGGGAAAGCTCAATGCTGCAAAAGGAAGAGATAATCGGAGCTGATGTTCGAAAACATTGCTTAGCGTTTGAAACTCAGCCAATGGATTCTCTGAAAGATGATGCAAATGCTGGACCCCGGACTATCGGTGGTAATGTTAGATCTGCAAGACACTTCTTTGAGACTAGTCCCAAGGCAGCTTTGAAGGACCTCAATGAGGTAGGGAGGCTCAAAAAGTTAGTGGCAACTGAAGAGAAGGGTGATGTAAGACACCAAAAATTGATGTTTGAGAATGAACGACTAGAGAACATAAGAGACGAGAAGAAGGAGATTATTCGTACTGTGAACTTCGAAAATCTCACTGAAGATCAAGGTACAAGCTACAATGCAGATGTCCATAGGAATTGCATGGTATTTGAGACTCAGGCAATGGATACTTTGAAAGATGATTCAAATGCTAGAGCCTTGTCTAAGGCGGAAATTGTCAGAGGTAATGTCAGATCAGCAAGACATTACTTTGAAACCGCTCCAGCTGACAATTTAAAAGACCTTGCTGAGGTTGGCAAACTACAAAAAATGGTGAGACTTGATGAAGAGAAGGGGGATGTGAGACACCAGAAATGGGTTTTCGAAAGTCAACCCCTGGAGCACATTCAAGAGGAAAAGAAGGAAATAATTCGAACCGTTAACCTGGAGGAAATCGATAAAGTGGATGTCTCAAACTACAAGCAAATATTTGAAACCACAGACTTAACCAGATGGGATGAATCACAAAAGATACTTGTGGAGGGTGTAACATGTGGCTCTGTGAAATCTAACAAACATCTGTTTGAGTCTACACCAATGTATGCCATGCAAGACAGCTCTGGCCATTACCATGAGGTAAAAACAGTGCATCGGGAAGAGGTTGTCAAGGGAGACGTAACTAGCTGCAAATGGATGTTTGAAACAAGCCCCATTGACCAGTCTGATGAAAGTATCACTAATTATCAAGTTATTAAGGGAATATCCAAAGAAGAAGTTGAGTCTGGTGATGTTAAAACTGCCAAGTGGCTGTTTGAAACACAGCCTCTTGATGCAATAAAATACTTCAGCAATATTGAAGACGAGGAAACTACAACTAAGGAAGGTGTTGAGATTATAAAAGGTGATGTTAAAACCGGTAGGTGGTTATTTGAGACTGAACTAATGAATGTCCCATATGAGAAGGATATGTTGAAGAGTGAAAATGAGAGTGAGGAGATACGCAAAGGAGATGTAAAAACCTGCACATGGTTGTTTGAGACACAGGCACTTGACACTATCCGAGATGAAACAGAAACTGTTCTACAAACATGCACTGTGAATCAAGAAGATGTCCAGGGCAAAGATGTACGCATGGCTCGTTTTCTATTTGAGACAGAGAATCTTGAAAACATCACAGGGGAAGGTGAGAGCTTTAAGAGGGTTACTGAGATAGACATTCAGTCAGGAGATGTCAATAGTATGAAGTATATCTTTGAGAATCAGTCCTCTGATATCATGACCTCAACATCTGAGGAGTTCATGCAAAGTCTCAAAACTACACAATCAACTACACAATCAGAGGACATCCAGAAAGGAAATGTGGTGAACAGCAAATGGCTCTTTGAGAACCAATCCATAGATGCCATACGTCATACCCAAGAAGAGGCTCTGGAGACCCGCACTGTGACTGATGTACAAGGAGGTAATGTGGACAAAGGTCGTTTCATTTTTGAGACATACTCCTTGGACAAAATCCAGGAGGTTTCCTCAGAGATAGATATTACAAAGTTGCAGAAAATAACTTGTGAGGAGGAAGAGAAAGGGGATGTGAGGAACTATACCATGATGTTTGAAACTCAGCCTCTTTATGCCATTCAAGACAAAGACGGCCATTATCATGAGGTCACCACTGTCACAAGCGAGGAGATATTGAAGGGTGATGTGATCGGGTCCCGGTGGTTGTTTGAAACCAAGCCTCTTGATTCTATCAGGGATAGAGATGAGGTCTATATCATCAAATCTGTCACACAGGAGGATGTTAAGAAAGGAGATGTTACTTCAGCCAAGTGGAGATTTGAAACACAGCCACTTGATAAGATTGCAGAGGACATAAAAATGTCAGTTAAAACTGTTGAAGATATTCAAGGAGGAGATGTTAGAATGAATAAACAGCGTTTTGAATCTGATGAGCTGTCACAGAAGTCTGTGCGAACAGTTAATGTGAGTGAAATCCAAAAAGGTGATGTCAGGACAGCAAAATGGATGTTTGAAACTCAAACAATGGATAAAATACATAGCCAGAGCGAAGAGAATTTAATAGAAACAGTCATGAAAGAGGAGGTGTTAAGGGGAGATGTTAGACAATCAGTGTGGCTCTTTGAACAGAATCCCCTTGACCATATAAAGGAGATAGATGAGGATGATACAGTAGTTGTTCAAGAGGAAATCCCCAAAGCCGATGTAAAGAAAACAACATGGCTGTTTGAAACAACTCCGTTCCATGACTTTAATGAGAACAGTGTTGAGAAGTCGGAAATCCTGGGTAAAAGTATCAAAGGAACCCTTGAGGAACTTTATAGCCAGAAAATTGTTAATTCAAAAGGAATACTCATTGAAGCAGATGAAATTGGGGACGTTAGAATGGCAAAATACCAGCTAATGAATAAGGATTCTCCAGAGATCCAAAGAGAGGAAATCATCAGGGGGGATCTGAGCAACATTATGATGAATCTTTTGAACTGTCGGGAAAGAATTGAGAGGGGGGTAGTGATAGAGTCAGAAGAGAAGGGTAATATCAGTACAACAGTGCATCAACTGTTCAACCAAGAGAGGGACGTAAATGTGGAAAAGGAGGAAATAGTAAGAGGTGACATCCAGGAAGCTGTAAACAATCTTCTCAAGGAGGGAGGATCTGCTAAACGTGGTATACTCCTTCAAGAGGATGAGAAGGGAGATGTGCGAATGACTATATATTCTCTTCTAAATAAAGAAGAGGACATCGATGTTGAAAAGGAGGATATAATCAAAGGCAATATAAGGAATGCACTCCAAAGACTATCCAACCCAGAAAACCAGGAGCAGACGAGGATAAAGGTGGATGAGAAAGAAAAGGGAAACGTGAACTTTTACTCCACCTGCATTGAATCTGGGGCGCTTGACTATCTCAAACAACTCCAGGTAGAGCCAGATGAGACACCACCTGAAAAGGTAGAGAAAGAGGAGATTATTAGAGGAGATATAAAGGGGACAAAACTCATTCTTGACAGTAATCGAGCACAAATTGAACGTACAGTAGATGAAGAGGACATAGTGCGCGGAGATGTTCACAACTCAGTCAAGGTTTTCATGACTGAACCCACACTCTCACTGGATGGCCTACAGAAAGAGGAAATTGTGAGGGGTGATTTGAAAGCAGCTATGAACTCGCTGTCTCAGTCTGTAAATCAGACAGTGGTTGTAGAGAAAGAGGAGGTGATAAGAGGTAACATACACAAAGCCCGAAGGCACCTTGAATTGGCCCAAAGACGGCCCAAGGAGGTGGAAAAGCCAGAGATTGTCCGTGGCAACATCAAAGGGGCACTGAGGTCCCTAGAGAAATCTGCAACCTCCAAAATTGAAGTTGCCATCGAAGATTTTGTACCTGGAGACATCAAAGGGACCTTAAAATCCCTGGAGCAGGCAAAGCAAACAGTCAGGGAGATCGAGAAGGAAGAGATTGTAAAGGGTAACATTCATACAGCCAAGCAGTGTTTACAATATGCTTCTAATAACAGGAGGACAGGCCAACAGGAAATTGATGTTCAGGGAAATGTGAGAGGCACTATTGAGCTCTTATTGGAACCACCAGCTTCTCCAAGAATGGCACGGAGACCCAGCTTCGAGGGTGATGTGAAAATGTCCATTAAGTCACTCTACGAGACACATGAGGTGCATGAGACGGGGGAGGAACAAACTCAACCAGAGAAAGAGGAGGTGATAAAGGGTGACGTTAAAGGCACAATCAAATCCTTGCTGGAATCAGCACAGCGTGCAGCTCCTAAAATCAGAGTGGGAGCTAGAAGGGTCAAAGTTCCTGTGGGATCTCCATTGCGCTCACAGCAAGGAAGCCCTCTATTACGTTCACAGCAAGGTAGCCCTGATTGTTCTGTTATAAACAAAACTGAGAGTGAGACACTTAAAAATAGGTCTAAAAGCAATGAAGCACAAAGAAACTTACAAAAAATAAAGACGGCTAATTCAGTCAAAACTGAGAGCTCAACACAAGAGAATCAATCCCTCTCAACTCAAACCACAATCAATACATCTGAATCACAGACTACTCAACAATCAACGAAAGTAATGCAACACACAACCATCACTCAAAACCATGGTATTAAAACTTTGGAGACTAAGTTCCGTAACCTCAATTCAAGTAGAAAGGGTATGATCAGACTAGATAAAACCAAAGTGAAAACAAATGTTCTTACCCCAACACGGACATTGTCTGAGTCTGAACTTTCTCTTCCTCCCCCACCTCCACCATGTGATGATCAATCATCCCTAACCCCAGCCTCCTCTATCAATAGGCTGGACTTGGACCTTCCGCCTCCCCCAACTCCTCCTCCCCCACCACCTGTTGACTCTGAGCCTGATCATTTCCCTCCTCCTCCACCATTACAGGATTTCCTTCCACCCCCACCCTCACAGCATGAACTGGACTCTATGTCATCCCAGACACCTCATCAATCACTAGCAAAAGCCACAAAAGTTACTGTCAAAAAGGTGAAAGGTCCTGCATTGCACCAAGTGTCAAAACTTGAGCCAACCAGTCAGATTCAGAAAATTCAACAGGCAACCTCAGAGAAACATACAACCATAGCCAACAAATCTGTGGTGGAAATCAGCAAAACTCAAATCGAATCAACATCATTTTCATCAAAAACAGTTTCATCTGAAATCCCAAAACCACCAGAATCACCACGACCATTAAAGAAGGTTTATGTCGCCCCTATAAGATTTACTCCTCCACCCTCTCCTCCTCCCTTCATGAAATCCACTAGATTCAAAACTCCATTAATAAAGGCAGAGGAAAAATACAGAAAACAGAAAGTGGGTAGTACACCCCCTGCTACACCGAGTCCCATTTTCATGCATGAGTCAGTCACTGTTGCCCTTGAAATGCTCTCCTCTGAGGAGACCAGTATGGAGCAATCAAACAAGAGCATGATGTTTGGTTTCACTCAAGAGAATGCTGAAAAGACTGTGACCAATGTCAAGGTAGACACACAGTCATCTGATTTTTCCAAGCATGCCCAAATCTCAGATACTCCTTTAAGCACGACTTTGATATCTGCTGTGAATGGGCAAAATCTCCCTGAATCTGCTGTTATTTCTGCAACTAAACACCATATTGTCTCTAATGAGACATCCAAAGTCTCCTCCGTTCAGCACCAGACCACATCTATTTCCTCCACAAAGCAACAGACAGTTACTGCAACTAAACAACAGGTAACGTCAGCATCCACCGAGCAGTCACACTCTGCTGTAAGTAGCTCTCAAGTCCAGATCTCGACCAGTGATGCTAAAAAGGTTGAAAATACAAAAAGAGATGTCAGGAAAGATGTAAAAAACCTCAAAACCAACTCTCAAGTCCAGATCTCAACCAGTGATGCTAAAAAGGTTGAAAATACAAAACAAAATGTAAAAAACCTAAAAACCAACTCTCAAGTCCAGATCTCAACCAGTGATCCTAAAAAGGTTGAAAATACAAAAAGAGATGTCAGGAAAGATGTAAAAAACCTCAAAACCAACTCTCAAGTCCAGATCTCAACCAGTGATGCTAAAAAGGTTGAAAATACAAAACAAAATGTAAAAAACCTAAAAACCAACTCTCAAGTCCAGATCTCAACCAGTGATCCTAAAAAGGTTGAAAATACAAAAAGAGATGTCAGGAAAGATGTAAAAAACCTCAAAACCAACTCTCTAGTCCAGATCTCAACCAGTGATGCTAAAAAGGTTGAAAATACAAAACAAAATGTAAAAAACCTAAAAACCAACTCTCAAGTCCAGATCTCAACCAGTGATCCTAAAAAGGTAGAAGATACAAAAACAGACGCCAAGAAAGATGTCAAAAATCTAAAAACTAAAGATTCCCATAAATCTGAGGACAAGAAGAACAAGGATAATTCTGCATCCCATGGACCCGAAAAGGTTTCTGACCAGCCTACCAAAACAGAAAAGGTAACCCAAGAAACAATTGTCAAAGCAGCCAAATCACCCTCGGAAGACAAAAAAAGTGATAATTCTGTATCACAAGCACCTGAGAAAGTTCCTAGTCAGTCTATCAAAGTAGAAAAGGTAACCTCAGAAACGAATGTCAAAACAGGCAAAAAGAAGGCCAAAGGGCAAGAAAAGCAAGTAGAAGTAAAAGACACGAAACAGCCAGATGAAACTAAGAAGGAAAACATTTCACAGGTGAAGGATGTAAAGGTGGAAGTGAAGATGGAAGTGAAGGATGTCACTAAGGTGAAGGTTTCTAGTGAGCAAACACATCATGAGACTGAGGACAAGGTCAAGGAGGACAACAACCAACCAGCAACTCCAACTCCCGCAAGAAAGAAGAAGAAGAAGAAGAAGAAGAGCTCAAAAGCTAAAGATGCGGCTGCCTCTGCAGAATCAACTAAATCTGTTTCTGAAAGTTCCACTCAAAGTCAGGAGATCACTGTAGTGCAGACACACAAAGCCCATCAAGAGGAGCACATTCAGGTACATAAGGAAGTGATTATCACTGAAAGCAAAGTTCATCAAAGTATCCAGGAACAAGAAACAGTTAAAGTAAAAAAACAAGTCAAGGCATGTCAAAAGAAGAAAGAGGTGACAGCAAACCATCAGATTCAAGAGAAACCAAAGGAGGAATACAGAAATGTTCCAGTGAAAGTGGAAAGTGAAAAAATGACGAGCCAGTCAGCACAAAAGGAACAGTGCTCAACAGGGAGCACTGAGGATTCTCAAAGACGTGAACATGTCCAGAAGTTAATCTCACATATAACAGAGTTAGAGGGAGCTTCAGGACAAATGGATTCTAAATCTGTGAAAACATTGCTCAATACTATTCCAGAGTGGCTCATTGGTTCAGAGGAAAATATTTATTTGGAGGGAACTGCAGTTGAACATAATATACAAAAGCTTACAGAAATTGTTTCATATGTGAAAATACTAGCAAACGCAAAGCTGTTGTGTTTAGAGGGCACCCACACTACTCTGGAGAAGCATGAGAGTGAACCTACTTCTGAAAAGATCATTGTTGGTGGTGCAACAAAAAAAATACGTAAGATAAGTATTAGCTCTTCGAAAGTTGAAAGTCAAAAGAAAGTTGTGGAAAGCAAAAAGACATCACATGAAAGCAAAAAGCAAGAGTTGAGTGCAAAATCTATTGATCATAGAGCACCGTCACCCTTACTACAGATGCGCTCACCCTCACCCAACTTTATTACCATTGAAACTACCCAGAGAACGGACTCACCTCGGAGAATAACCCCATCACCTATCCCAATGCACAGACCAGCCACTCTCCCAACACCTCCCCCTCGCATATTGGAACCTCCTACATCACGCATCAATAGGGCCACACCCTCTCCCACTTTTTCTAGAGCAGAGAACTTGGCACGGATAAAAGATACTACAGCCCAGCTTTCCCGTGGAGTGACGGCACCTCCAGTTCCTCTTCCTATGCAAGTCACAGAAAATACATCTGAGATTGTGGAATCCCCCGCATCATTCCATCAGCAGATCAAAATTGAGGAACAGGCTGAGGAAACTTCAGAAGTGTTAGCCAAGACAATTGTCACTGCCAAAAAACACAAAGACAAAAAACACAAAAAAGAATTATCTGAAGAGGCTCAAAAGGCTGATGTGAAGGTCACAGGTGGAAGATCATTCCATCAAATGGATAAAGAAGACATGGAAGCTTCAGAAATCTCAGAGTCTTTAATGGTGACTACATCAGTGAGAGACAAGAGGGAGTTTTTTGAAGAAGCTCAAAAAGCTGCAGAAAATAAGACCTATGTGCGAAAGGATCCCGTTGACATCCCGGAGCACTTGGGCCAAGACATGGAGGAGCCCAAAACAACAAACCAAGAGAGTAAGGATGAAACACAAAGCACATCTGAGAAGGTCACAGAGAACAGCACTGAAGTAGTGGGATCTACAGAGTCAACTGATAAAGAATTGATGGAAGCTTCAGAAATGTCAGAGTCATCAATAGTGACTAGATCAGTGAGCGACAAGAGAGAGTTTTTTGAAGAGGCACAAAAAGCTGAAATAAATAAGACTTATGTACGAAAATACCCTATTGATATCCTAGAGCACTTAGGTCCAGCCATTATGGAGCCCGAAACAGAAAACCAAGAGAGGAAGGAAGATGTACAAAACACAACTGAGCAAATCACAGAGAAAATCTCTGAAGAAGTGGGATTTATGTGGGAAGACCGGTGGGAGTCAGCTGCCATAGAGGCTATGGAAACTTCTGAATTGTCAGACTCATCAGCAGTGACATCAGTGAGAGACAAGAGAGAGTTTTTTGAAGAGACTCATAAAGCTAAAGTAAATAAGACGTATGTGCGAAAGGATCCCATTGATACCCCTGAGCGCTTGGGTCCAGACATGGAGGAGCTCGAACCAGAAAACCAAGAGAATGAGAAAGAGAACCTTCCAAAGGTTGACTTGTCTGGATTAGTCAACAAATTTGAAACACCAGAAGAGAAAGTTTATGTCAGAAAGCCTATCACAATGAGAGAAAGATGTGGGAGTGAGACGGAATACACAGAGTCTGACATAGAAAATACAGAAACTCAAGAGGAGGAAATGCCTACTTTTGACATCAAGGCTATTAAAAACGTTTTTGAAATGAGTGAGCAAAGTCCATCTTTCAAAGAAGAGAAAAATCAACTGGATGAGCTGGAGTCAAACCTGAGTGAAAACACAACAGACAGTTCAAAACAGGATAACACCCAGGAGACACAGAGGGGCTCCGGGCAGATCTCGCCCATGCCTTCCCAGAAAAAATTGCAACACATGTCAGTAGACCCAACAGACTTTTCTGAAACCAAGTCAGTCACACAGCATTTCTCGAGCTTCGATGAATTCGTCAACAAGACAATTGGATCACTGAGCAGCACAACTGTGTCCCAGCACTCAAAGAGCGTAACAACCCACCGTGCCCCCTTCTCAAATGCTGACATGGTAAAAAAAAAGGTTTCTCAGGTGACGCTGTCTGAAACCCCTGATGAGGCTTTCCACAAAACATGGCCGGAGAGTGAGAGTGTTTTCAAGAGTCTCGGCTACAGTGTCTCGGAGGAGAGAACATCACATGTTGTGTCACATCAAACGAAGACTGTTGTTACTGGTAAAGAGTTGTGCAGCCTGCATGATGGGACTTGAAACTAACAGTAAATAATGGCATGTAAAAATGCCCCCTCTGATTTTCAATAAGACCTAACATATTTACATGTGCCTGCTTTGACATAGAGAGAGATTATAACAAATGATTCAATGAATAAAACATGGCACAAGAACAAGACCTAAGCATGTTACGATGACATGCGGGGAATAGCATCTCACACATACAATATATTGTAATGATCCTATTTAAATGCAACCGTTCTCATTTTTGACCTTCAAAACCAACACAAAGTACAAGATTGGGTCAATACTGTTTGTTATCAGTAAGTAGTGTATTTTTTTATTGCACCAATAATGTGATTGTGCCTGTTTGATGATTTACTATACTACGCATGGTCATGTAATTATGCCTTGATAACATTTCTTAATAACTGAGTCATTGTATGTTGTGATAAAAGAAAAAAAAGGCTATAATGATGTTCACTTTTCTCTGGCAGACTCAAGTTCCCAAGTCGGAGCTTTGCACTGTATGTCGGAGGAGGGTCTATCCGATGGAGGCTCTAATAGCGGACAGAAAAAAATTCCATAAATCTTGTTTCTGCTGCGAGCACTGCAGAAATAAATTAAGGTAATGTAAATATCACCCAAACCAAGGTGAATTCAAAGTACTGTAAGTGGATTTTTGCTGTGAACTGGTAAACAGTGCTTGAATGGTTGTGGTCCCAACAGTTTGTTGCTGCACATAAGACACCAATTCTATTGTGCTATGTTTGCAAATTAAGCAGTAAAAGGTTTGACATGTTTGTGGAATCTTGGAATTAATTGTATCCCTTCTTCACACTGTTTTGCATAATAATTTGTTCTGTCTCCTCCAGCCTTGGCAACTATGTCTCTCTCCATGGACATTTGTACTGTTTACCCCACTACAAACAACTATTCAAGTCCAAAGGGAACTACGATAATGGATTTGGTCAGACATTTCCCAATGAAAAGAACGTCAACGAAAGTGGTCGACTCATCACCTCATCAGAGCGACTTGATTGGAGGTATTCACAGAGCAGCATAGGCTCAACAGAAAAATACACCCTTGAAAAAGAATTTATGAAATCAATTGATGAGAACAAAGTAAATAGTAATAAGATATCTGTTGTGTGGCCTCCACAAGCCCAATCCCCACAGAAAACCTTTAAAGTAGAGGAGGACGTAAAGCTGATTAAGCCACAATGGCCTCCGCAGGACAATTCCCAAAAGTCACCCAAACAACAACATAGAAAAGCTATTTCCAGGAGCTTTCTTTGAAAGAGAGCATTCCCACCACAATCATATATGCCACAGAAAACAGAAGAAGCTTCAAGCAGTCGATGGTAAGGCAACCCATGAGGGCAAAGAGACAGTTGGAATTGGGAAAGGTCTGACACTGAAGGACAAAAGGACAAGTGCAGTAGTAATGATGGGAATACATGGTAGAAATGGTGTATATATTTATGGTGTGTGAGAGTGGAAGAAGATGGTTAGGAAAGTACTGAGGGTCAGATGGAAAGAGGAGTAGAATGACAGATGGAAACATGGAATGTTATGGAATGTTATGCTTAGAAATGGCACAGCCTACCTCATTCGTCTTTCAAGTTTGATCATTGAAAACATTAGCTCTAGATTTCACATGGAATTGACTCACATTAGTCATGCTTACTTGATCTCTAAAATATAATGTTGCTGTGTTCAATGGGTCTCAGAAATATTTGACTAATATCTTTAGGGTAATATAGTTTAATTTGTTAAATTTCTGTTCAGTCATCTATCAATTAGTTTAAGTCCATGGAGAGAGTATTGTAGATTTCAAACACAGTCATAATTTTGTCTTGGCTTTTTCTTTCAACATACGGTATCAACATTTTTACATTTACCTTTTTCTAGCACCTGGTGTGCAGCCTATGATCTTGGAAATAATTTCTTTATAATATATATACAGTATATATCCTATTAACTGGTATTAATCATGTTTGTTTTGGACATTTGTATCCTATTTTAAAGAGCAAATATTTTGCAATGCACATTAGATTCTTTAGATTAGACTACCTTGCTTTGTACAAGAGAATTCCTGATACTTTCATCCTGTCAGGCTGGTTACTCAACAACAATTCTTTCAAATGTATTGCTGATCCAAGGGCAATAAAATCATTGAATTGGACATTCTCAATTGCATTATTTTACATTTTACACAACATTCATACTGAATCAGTATAGAAACATACTGTATGACAAACTGTTTTTTTAGAAGTTAAGATTTCTCCATACATACACATTTCGTGAAGCTTAGATTTACACTGTATATACAAAAGTATGTGGTCAACCCTTCAAATTAGTAGATTCGGCTATTTCAGCTACACCCGTTGCTGACAGGTATATAAAATCGAGCACACGGCCATGCAATCTCCATAGACAAACATTGGCAGTAGAATGGCCTTACTGAAGAGCTCAGTGACTTTCAACATGGCACCGTCATAGGATGCCACCTTTCCAACAAGTCAGTTCGTAAAATGTCTGCCCTGCTAGAGCTGCCCCGTTCAACTGTAAGTACTGTTATTGTGAAGTGGAAACGTCTCGGAGCAACAACTGCTCAGCCGCGAAGTGGTAGGCCACACAAGCTCAGTGCTGAAGCGCGTAGCGCGTCTGTCCTCGGTTGCAACACTCACTACCGAGTTCCAAAGTGCCTCTGGAAGCAACGTCAGCACAATAAATGTTAGTCAGGAGCTTCATGAAATGGATTTCCATGGCCGAGCAGCCGCACACAAGCCTAAGATCACCATGCGCAATGCCAAGCGTCGGCTGGAGTGGTGTAAAGCTCGCCACCATTGGACTCTGGAGCAGTGGAAACACATTCTCTGGGTTTGGAGGCTGCCAGGAGAACGCTACCTGTCCGAATGCATAGTGGCAACCGTAAAGTTTGGTGGAATAGGAATAATGGTCTGGGGCTGTTTTCATGGTTCGGGCTAGCACAAAGCGAGGTCCCTTAGTTCCAATGAAGGGAAGTCTTAGAGCTACAGCATACAATGACATTCTAGATGGTTCTGTGCTTCCAACTCTGTGGCAACAGTTTGGGGAAGGCCCTTTCCCCTGTTCAGCATGACAATACCCCTGTGTACAAAGCGAGGTCCATACAGAAAATATTTGTCGAGATCGGTGTGGAAGAACTTGACTGACCTCAACCCAATCGAACACCTTTGAGATTAATTGCAATGCCGACTGCGAGCCAGGCCAAATCGCCCAACATCAGTGCCCGACCTCACTAATGCTCTTGTGGCTGAATGGAAGCAAGTCCCCGCAGCAATGTTCCAACATCTAGTGGAAAGCCTTCCCAGAAGAGTAGAGGGTGTTATAGCAGCAAAGGGGGGACCAACTCCATATTAATGCCCATGATTTTGGAATGAGATGTTCGACGAGCAGGTGTCCACATACTTTTGGTCATGTAGTGCATGTGTAATCAAAATGTAACTGCTGAAGAATCTGCCTATAAACACTTAACTGATCGATAGTGCACTTTACTCCCAGACAGCCCAAATAATATGTTATCTGCTACAGAGGAACTCACATATTATGTCAGCTATTGACAGGTTAAATGTTTGCTGTAGGAAAGTGTGCTTTAACAAGAGCTCCTCCTGTAAATTAACGTGGTCCATACTGTTTTGCACCTTTTACATTCCCTATAATGTTTGTAATCACATTGATTGATTAATTGATTGATTACTAGCCTACTATCATCAAATAATGACTATGTTAAACCTATGATTCAATCCACTCCAGACAATACAGGCTTTAAAGGCATGGGGGTTGTTAAGTTGTTATCCATTTTGGCAGTTAACCTATGTGATTAAGTACAACTTGAAATCAATCCCCAAGTGTGCCTGAAAGTTGTTCAAGGTAAGATGTCACTCCCCTTAAGGAAAAACGACATGATTTCACATCTGGAAAATCACATGTGAAAACGGGTTTTTGGAACACTTCACGTGACATTTCACATGTGAAAACGTGTCTTTGGAATGCTTCATATGTGACATTTTAAATCGTTATGATACACACACACACACAGTGCTTTTAACACAGTGTTTTCATCTTACATATTTGACACACTTGAACATGTATGACTACAGTGTGTATGTTTATTTATACAGTAATTCTTATTCAATGTGTCCTCACCTGGGATTTGAACTCACAGCCTCTTGGTTCACAGAATTCGGATATTTCTGCTACACCGCAGTCTGTGTCGATGGCTGATTTCACCTGTTTTTCCGACACTTTGGATTTCAAAGTACAGTGCCTTCAGAAAAGTATTCACAACCATTTACTTTTTCCACATTTTGTTGTGTTACAAAGTGGGATTAAAATGGATTTAATTGTCATTTTCAGTCAACAATCTACACACAATACTCTGTAATGTCAAAGTGGAAGGAAAATGATAACATAAAACAAAATATGAAAAATAGAACACTAATATATCTTGATTAGATAAATATTCACCCCCCTAAGACAATACATGTTTAAAACACCTTTGGCAGTGATTACAGCTGTGAGTGTTTTTGTGTAAGTCTCTAAGAGCTTTGCACACCTGGATTGTACAATATTTGCCCGTTATTATTTTTTAAATTCTTTAAGCTCTTGTCAAGTTGGTTGTTGATCATTGCTAGAAAGCCAGATTTTCAATTAGATTTAAGTCAAAACTGTAACTAGGCCACTCAGGAACATTCAATGTCGTCTTGGTAAGCAACTCCAGTGTAGATTTGGCCTAAGTTATTGTCCTGCTGAAAGGTGAATTCGTCTCCCAGTGTCTGTTGGAAAGACTGAACCAGGTTTTCCTCTAGGATTTTGCCTGTACTTAGCTGAATTCCGTTTCTTTTTATCCCCCCAAAAAACTCCCTAAAATACTAACCTAAATGACGGAGTGAAAAGAAGGAAGCCTAAAATATATTCCAAAACATGCATCCTGTTTGCAACAGGGCACTTACTGTAAGTAATACTGCAAAAAATGTGGCAAAGAAATGAACTTTATGTCCTGAATACAAAGAGTTATGTTTGTGGCAAATCCAACACAACACATCACTGAGTACCACTCTTCATATTTTCAAGCATTGTGGTGGCTGCATCATGTTATGGGTATGCTTGTCATCGGCAAGGACTAGTATAATGTTGTTGATCCATCCTCAAGTACAGGGAGTGCATTTAATGATAAATAAAACATGGAACAAAACAAGAGTAGTGTACAGACAGGAACAGAGTAACATAATCAATAACACCTAGGAAAGGAACCAAAGGGAGTGACATATATAGGGGAGGTAATCAGGAAGATGATGGAGTCCAGGTGAGTCTGATGAGGCGCTGGTGCGCGTAACGATGGTGACAGGTGCGCGTAATAAAGAGCAGCCTGGTGACCTAGAGGCCAGAGGGGGAGTATACGTGACAATATCACAACCATTAAACTCTTGTTTTAAAATCACCATTGGCCTCATGGTGAAATCCCTGACCAGTTTCCTTCCTCTCCGGCAACTGACTTAGGAAGGACGCCTGTATCCTTGTAGTGACTGGGTGTACTGATAAACCATCCAAAGTTTAATTCATAACTTTACCATGCTCAAAGGGATATTCAGCGTCTGCTTTTTTTTTTCTCCTACACATCTACCAATCAGTGCCCTTCTTTGTGAGGCATTGAAAACCTCCCTGGTATATGTGGTTGAATCTGTGTGTGAAATTCACTACTCGATTGAGGGACCTTACAGATAAATGAATGTGTGGGGTACAGAGATGGGGTAGTCATTCAAAAATCATGTTAAACCCTATTTTTGAACAAAGAATGAGTCCATGCAACTTATTATGTGTTTTGTTAAGCACATTATTACTCCTGGACTTATTTAGGCTTGCCATAACAAAGGGGTTGAATACTTATTGACTCAAGACATTTCAGGTTTTCATTTTGTATTCATTTAAAAAAGATTCTACCATCAAAATTCCACTTTGACATTATGGGTTATCGTGTGTAGATCAGTGACACAAAATCTCAATTTAATACTTTTTAAATTAAGGCTGTAACACAACAAAATGTTGAAAAGGTAAAGAAGTGTGAATACTTTCTGAAGACACTGTCAATCTCAGTTTGTTTAAAAATACACACAAAAAAATTCTGGAGTAACATTGAAACAGAATAATATGCCCCACCAAGATTAGACAACTTTACAGAAAACCCTCAAATTGTAGAAACAATCAAATGAAATCAATGACGAGAGAATAGTCAGAATAACTGTTAACTAAAA